TAATTTTTTTTTTTTTTTTTTTTTTTTTTTTTTTTTTTTTTTTTTTTTAAGGTATTAAAAATTATGATCTTTTAAATTCTTTTAAAATATTATTGCTAATAATTTTTTCTCTTGTCATTATTTTGTATTTTTTCCCATATTTTCTCAATTTTTTAGCTTATATTATGAGTTCTATATACTTGCAGCTTATGCGCAGTTAATAAAACTTATTAATTATTTTCGTTTTTCTCTTTGTTTTTTTGTGCTATATATATATATATATATATGGTACGGCCAAAGCCGAATCGGCCATTTCGCGAATTGACCAAGAACGCTGTAAATTGGCTGGCCAATGTCCGATTTTTTCTTGATTTCGGGAATTGGCCGGATATAATTACATTTATTCGATATTTTAATACTTACTGACGATAGATTACATTTATTCGATATTTTAGTACTTACTGACGATAGATTGGAAAATAAATACCGGGCAAATGCATACTGGGCAGTGGCACTGAACCTTAAAAAAACATCAGTGTAGGATATACCGGACAAATGTATACCGGGCAGTGGCACTGAACCTTAAAAAAGTATCAGTGTAGGGTATACTGGGCAAATGTATACCAAGAAGTGACACTTGACCTTAAAAAAATATCAATGTAGGATATACCGGGCAGTGGCAATTAACTAGGCCTAGTATGACTAGACCTTTGGTAAATGTCGGAAATATATACTAGGTCAGGTTAAGTGCCACTGCTCGGTGTACATTTGTCCGGCCATTCTTGAATGAGCACATCGCGTTTTGGCCGGAACATCGTGGCCACTTCGCGAAATGGCCGGCCAAAGTGCGAAATAATTGATCGTTTCAATTATTTCGCACTTTGGCCGAGAGGTATGGCCGATTCGCGAAGTGGCCAGACTTCGGGCTTTGGCAGTGACATAGATATATACATAACGTACTTAAAATTATGTGCGTTGGAAAGCTGTGGTGGAAATATAATTTCCTTAATTGCAGTTGGCAATAAGATAGATATAATTACCTACCTAATCCAATTAGTTACCTTAATTAATTAACTACTTTAAAACTACTTCCCCATAAAATTTAAATAATGGTAACAAAATTACGAAAATAAGATGTATTTTAACAATTTCGCGTTCACCAAAACACTTAATACTTCTAAATAAATATGTCTAGTCACGAAATTGGAAGCGTCTAATTTTTAGTTTTAAAGCGAAGTTAAAAGTAAATTATAACATCTATATTACAATAAACACTACTTTTTAATTTTCTTAGAAACAGTACGAACCTTCTTATTTAATTAACTACCGAAAAATACTAGAATCAAACCTCCACTAAATCATTTGCATTTTTTTTCCTTCAAATTAAAGTGTATTATTATATATTAACCCCCTGGGGACGGGTGATTCATAAAAGCATTCGTACAAAATCAGAATCAGGATGTAAATAAATAAAGATCTGTAACTTAAATGTAGTCGTTGCTAATTTGACAGACTTACTTTGCCTTTACTTTAATTACTGTTAGTGTAATCATAGATATAATCAATGTTAGTTCAAAGTATAACTAAATAATTTCATTTTGAACTAAAGTAATGGTGAATTAAATAAATCAAGCAATTATAACCCCGCCCACAAATAAATTGCTAAAGAACTACTTTGGTTACCAGTTTTATCTTTCTACCCTGATTGATACGATTTTATGCCGGCACATATTTGTGACAGTCGGCGCGGAAGGGTTAAACAATCGACTTATTAAACCTTTACTAAATAGAAAATTTTTAATCAAAATTTCAGACCACAGCCATAAGAATTATCATCATCATATGCACGTCCAAAAAGGATTTATCTTCGATAAATTTAAATTCTTCACCATTTTAAGTGACTGATTAAAAAAACAGCACCATTTAGGGTTGAACAAAACTGCACTGAAAGGCTTGAACAAAATTCGGTGTTAAACGAAAATACCATGTTTTAATTTCTTAGATATTTTATTCTACCAAATGTTAAACTCCGTTTAGTAAAGGGTTGAAATACCAATGTTAAAAGGTTGAAATACGTGAACAAAAAAAAATTCCAATTATTTATTTACCTGTGCAGTTCAGGGCGTTTTATTTCAAAAGTTTCCATATTTCAATTGAATTGCCGTACACATAAATTTTTTTTCTCATTTTATGATCTGCAGATTGATACAGTTCCGCGCACTTGATTCAAAATTAGAAAAAACAGCTGTTACTTTTCAGTTTAGTGACTGAAATTAAAGAGGATTTGTTTTTTTTCGAACTGAAAAAAATAACATTTCATCACGCTAAAAAAAAATGATACGTTAAACTTAATCCGTCACTTTTTTTACTTACCTCTTTGCATTAGTATAAGGTTAACGACACTGTGATAAAATAAAATCGAATTATTCAATAAGTATTTTGTTTTCATAAGGAAGAAAAGCAACCATTCTACTTCTTTTATGCAATATTGTATACTAAACTATCTTCATTTGATGTAGGGTGTTCAGTAAAGACCTTCCTTAATATATATTTTTAGAATTTTCATCAAAAATTAAAACAAAAAAGCATATATATTTGAAGTGGCAAATTAATATACTTTACCGAAAAAAAAACTCTTTCGAAATCTAGCAAATCAATGAGCAGTAAGGCACAGTCAACAATGATTGCTCAAAATTACAAGAATAAAACGTAGCAGGTATACATTACAATTTTTGTTCAATTGGTGTTCGGTAAAGACCTTCCTTGATATATATTTTTAGAATTTTCCTCAAAAATTAAAACAGAAAAGCATATATATTTGAAGTCGCCAATTAATACTTAACCGGAAAAAAACTCTTTCGAAATCCAACAAATCACTGAGCAGTAAGGCGCAGTCAACAATGATTGCTCAAAATTACAAGAATAAAACGTAGCAGGTATGCATTACAATTTTTGTTCAATTGGTTTTCGGTAAAGACCTTCCTTGATATATATTTTTAGAATTTTCATCACAAATTAAAACAAAAAAGCATGTATATTTGAAGTGGCAAATTAATGCTCAACAGGAAAAAAAACTCTATTGAATTCTAACAAATCAATGAGCGGTAAGGCGCATTCAACAATGATTGCTCAAAATAACATGAATAAAACGAAACAGATCTACATTACAATTTTTATTTTTAAAACTTACAAGTAAAAACAAACTTATTCAAAGATACTTTGAACACATATGTACAGCAAATAGCAAGATGAGTATAAAATAAATTAAGTCCATAGAGCGTCGCACTTGGGTGAGTTCATAAACTTGGCAATAGGACACCTAAAAGCCTCGGAGAAAGGTGAGAAATTTTTCAGCACGTCATTCACTCTACGACGTCCGGAACTGTGAGAAGAAACGACGTCTTCACGTCTGATTTCACAAAATTGCTGAAAAGTAAAATCCCCGTGTTCATTATTTCCAATCTAACATTAATAACGAGCTTGAAATGAAATAAATGGTATAAATTTTTGCAACTTTAAGCCGATTTAAAGGTGGAAGAAAATTTCATTTTATTAACCCTTTGCTTACAGTATACCATGTTGTACCATCACATGTGGTCCACATGTTGTACCAGCCGCAAGCAAAAGGTTAAAATTTTAAGAAATTACTTGAATATAGTTCTACGTGACACTTTACTGAATTAGAGGCATACCTAGAAATCGTTGAAAACAGCAGGAATATCTGGCTCAATTGATTTTGGGTTTTTTTTCCGTTGGCAACAATTACGCCTCCTTTTCAAGGTCCTCTTTTTTACCTCTTAAATCAGGCTTATTTTAATCTGCTATTTGGAGAAAGGGTAAGAATCCATCCTCTAATGTTTTTCAAAATTTGAATTATTTTTCGTTCAGTTAAAAAAAAGTTCGTTTAGTTAAAAATGGACCAATCCTAATAACTTTTAATCTTATGATCGGATCTTGACGCTCTAGGACTCATTCTTAGTGATTCAAGAGGGTAATTTCAAATATGCTTATTAATTAGGACAGACGATATTTTAACTTACGAAAGCAAGCACAAAAGCGTACTTTTCTTTGAATAAACATATATTTTTTTCCACGGACTCTAATTTCTGACTTCCAAAATAAAATGGGCAGCCACAATCTGGGAAATATGGTCCCCATAGTTTAGTCGCGAGAGTGTGATTTAAAGTTTGGACCCCTTAATATTAATTTTATTTTTTGCATATTTCGCCATGTATCGAGAAATTGTTAAGTGAATTGCAAAAGTTTCGCACACAATTCTAAAATTCATTTATCCAAAGATAATTCTATACAAAAAATAACTTTTAATATTAGACGAAAAAATAAGTTTAAATTTCAAGGTGTAATTTTTTTTCATCATTATAAAGAATATAATTTTGCATGACAAAATACAAAATTTGAGTGAAATTGGTTAAATAGTTCCTGATAAGTAAAATTTTTAAAATGCGACGTTTTTGAAATTCGATTTCTCAGGAATTATTCGACCGATTTCACTTGAAGTTTGCATTTTGCCATGTGAAATCATGTTCTTTAGTATGTTGTAAAAAATAGTATACCTTACAATTCAAAAATTTATCAAGGAATATTAAATTATATAATAAAAAATTATAAATATTTACTAACAGTTTTTTCTTTTGAATATAAGAATTTTATAATTGTGAGCAAAAATGTTTCAATTCGCTTAAAAAGTTTCTGAAATATGGTGTAATACGCAAAAAAATAAGTTTAACATTTAGGGGTCCAAAATTTGAATCGCTCTCCTGATCAAAATATGGGAACCATATTTCCCACATTGCATATTTCCCACTATATTTCGGAGGTCAGAAATCTGAATACATCGAAATATTTATGAATCTGAATATGTTTATTCAGAAAAAGTTCGTTTTTGTGTCTGATTTCGTAACTTAATATCGTTTGCACAAAATTATTAGCATATTTGAAGTCACTCCCAAGATTAAATTCTAAAGCGTAAAGATTCGATCATTAAATCAAAAATTATTCAAGGTGGTTTTTCGTCTCCTTTTTCTTCTTTTTTGTGTGCATTGTGCACCTTTTTTACTGATCTGAAATTTAACTTAACATTCTGAACTTTTACAGGAATTTAAAATAAGCACAGACATTATTTAAGTGCAAATACTTTTGTGAAATAGAGTAAAGAACATTTAGAAATTAATTTTCTTTAGAGCTGAAAAGTTAGAGAAGGAAAGACACTATGACATTTTACACACTCGATAAATTTTAAAAAAATCATATTAATGATTTAAAGCAACTTTTAATAGACTGTCAAATATGCTGTTTTAAAAACCATACCAGCTCAAAGAAAAAAAATTTTAAAAAAAAGGTATTTTTTAAATTGAGAAAAACTTAACCATTTGGATTTCTATGAGAAAAAGTTGTTTAAACCCCTAAAAAAATATAAAATATTTACCAATATTCAAGTTCTAGAACTAATTTTAGTGACACATTCCATTCTTACACTCAAGTTTTAGTTTAATCTATTTATTAGAAGTCGAGTAATCATGAGCAACAGAAGAAAAAATATGAATTGAGACAAACATGTATAAAGACAGAACTTTGATTAAATATACAATATAAAAAATACTTGATTTTAGAGACGATTCTCATTAGGAAAATGGGTGCATTATTTTCTGTTTTCATTCAGTGGTTTTCAGTATTTTTGCTCTAACTTTGGAAATTTTCTGAGTATTATCTTTAACTTAGAACCAAATTCTCAGAATTTAACAAGTCAAAACATTTTTTTCCAAGATATCGAAAATTTTGTTAGAAAAAACTTTTTAGATCACTTAAATACCTGCAAGACTCTCTCACTTTAATTATTAATGTCACCAAATTGGCGATTTTTTAAAAAGTTTAATAAATTCCATAATATTTATGTTATTCGTCAGTTCTAAACCCCAGTTAATTCGTCATAGCAAGATGATATATATATAGTTTAAAATCTTTGTTTTGCTTGAAATGTAAGGCACTTGAACTCTGGCTCTTTTATTTTCTTTGGAGGCAGAGGTTCGAAAAACCATGTTAAGCATTGTTTTGACGTCCTTACCTGAGCGTAAGTTATGAAAAACAACTGTTCGTTAGTTACTCTCAGCAACCCTGGCAATAAATCTTCAGCTCCATTCTTATTCAGGTACCGCAAATACGCCTGAAAGAGAAATTAGATTGTTTAATAGAACTAACTTAAGTACTTAATTTCGACAAAAATAACAGTTGCTCTTTATATTTACAAGGGTTGGCAAAAATATGGAAACACTTCTATACTATCTCTATGTTAACGATCTTCCTTTTAGCAGAAAATGTTTTTGAAAAGATAAAGAATATTTTTTAATGTTTAAAGAATGGTTTTGAATGTTTTGAGAAGATAAAGACTTTACATAGCAAAAATGCTGGAACAATTTCATCATGTTTGAAGCTTTTAGAAACGGTGCTCTTTTTACCCATGGAAAATTTACATCGAACAAAATGGTCTTAGGAATTTAAAACCCTTTTTCAATTTTTAATACCGTTACAATTATAATAGCATTTTTATTTAAATATCGCACTCCTACAGCATGATTTCAAAATTGCTGGTCTGAAAGCTAAAAAATTATTTACTTTATTTCCTCCTTTTGGGCAAATTCGAATTTTGCATGGGTAAATAAAGACATCACTTTTAAAAGTTTCAAGCATGATACCTCAAACTGCACCAACAGTTTTACCATGTAAAATTTTCCAAAACATTTGTTTCTAAACGATAGAAGTTTTTCAATATTTTTCTCAACCCCTGTATTATTCATTTGATACTAATACTACTGACAATAAATAAAGTTATATACCCTGAATGATAAATAAACTCCTTGGTTATCACAGAGATCCTCATTTAGCGAACTCAGCGAAACCTGCAAAAAAGAAGTAAACAGTTATGAATGCAATAGACTAACAAAGACAGCAGGATTTCCACCATATATGTCAACCTGCAAACAAAAATATAATTAACACTAGGTTTACGGGACGCGTCATTTTGACGTACTTCGAATTTTATAAAGAAAATTACAAAACCAGTTTGCATTTTTATTTTATCCCTTGTAATGACTTTTATCCATTGATCGAGGTAAATACTATATATTGAAGTCTATTTTCTTCAAAAGAGTTGAAATATTGAAATTCTCTTTGTGGTATGCCTATCTCTACGGATATGCGTCAATTTGACGCCATCGTAATTTAGACAAAATTTTGCGTAAACATGCAAGCATCACATCAGTAATAAATAGGAATGTACCGACAATACTTCGATCCGTTATCAGATATCATTATCTCAAATGAAACAAGGAATAAACAACTGTTGCCGATAAGCAATAATAGAAAGAACAAACGCAGAATGTTAATTGATTTCAGAGTGTCATATTTTGAAGGTTCCAGTTGATTAGTTCGAGTATTGAAAAATTAAATACTAGACTATTTCATAAATATATATCTCATATTTTCGTTTTTTTTTTCTCATAGTATGTAATAATATTGCTTTTTAAGTGCAGAGATGTCAACTGCTCCGGACAAGCCAAAATAATTTTTAAAAAACGGTAAAAAACTACTAAGTAAATTTTGCAAATATAAAGTGGTTAATTATATAAGCCAACGAATTATTTAGAAATAGTGGTGGATTAAAATATACTCAATTGAATTTATTAAACCAAGAATCACAATTGATAAACTACCACTTTAAAATATATATTTGCTGTCCGGAGCAAGTTGGCATATCTGTAAGTGCTGTTATTCGTTCATGCGTCAAATTGACGCGTGTTCGTAGAGATAGGGATATAAGAAACGTCCGTAAACCTAGTGTTAAATGATCAGATGTACCACTTAGTTCTGTCACATACTTTTGTTACAAGATTGAATACGTTTTGCGCCATGTAGGCTGTGTCTCCTTAAGCTGGAACGTTGCCATTGAGTTAAAGGATAAATGCTTCTTTTATAAAAGAAACTTTTGCATTACTGTAAAAGATGTACTTACGGGAAAAAAAACTATCGGGTGGGCTAATTTACAATCCAGTGGCTTTTAACGATTCACTCGCTTTTTTGGAGACTTTGATCTTGACTGTAGATGGTCTCAATTATAATACAAGATTTTATTTCTTTCAAAAATTTGCAACCTGAACGAAAAATAAAATCAAGAATCAAGTTTTTTATAATTATTATTTAAGAAAATGCAAAACAGGAGAGTGGTCGTTAAAAGCCATTCGATCAGAAAATCGCTTACAATCGATCAAAAAAATTGGGAATATATATAAACATAAAAAATTTTTATATATTTTTAATAAATATATTTTTTTTGAAAATTAAAATTTAAATTATATTTAAATAAAAAAAATTTAGAAAAGCTTTTAGAAAGTCTCTCTTTTTATCTTTCTTTTCTTTCGTTTTTTTCAAAGATGGTACTGCAAATTTGAATTCTTTAAGAAAGAAGTGTAAATATTATTTTTTTACCACTGCTGCTTGATGAGGATATTGGGAAAGTTCGAGAAAACAACGAGCTTTCTTTTGAGCATCTCTTAGGACGTAACCTGGGAAGCTCGTCCAATTAACACCTGAGTGTCCACTCAAAGCTGAAATGAAAAGAAAACATGATTAGTTCAGACATATTTATTTATACATATCTATCTGCTTATCAGCTGAAGAGCTTTGAAACAATTTATTATGTCAACAAATTAAAGAGATGAAATGAAGTGACATTTTTGAGAATTCAAGCAAATTATTCTTCAACTTCATATGTCGACATAAGATTATGTCTTAAGAACAAATGAGATAAAAAGGACTTAAAGATTATGTCTTACCATAAAATCAGTTTATAACCGTCGTTGAACAGCCGACCCAATTTTTTGGGTTTACGGCTACTAATGTTCATCCTCGTGGTCTTGTGATTTTGAACCCAATCCTGAAGAACTCCTGGATCAAGTACTGGGAGACGTTTTGCCTTCGTGGAGGATTTTTAATGGAACTAATCCGCATTTGCGTTACATGGAAAAGAAAACCTCACGAGGTTAGCCTAACGGCAAGTGGACTCTAACCCATGATCCGTCTACCACTGAGTATATTTTCCGAAAGCATTGTGGTCAGTGCAAGCCGAATGCGGAATTCGTATTGACCAGTCATCGCTGGGATTCGAACCCAATTCACCTCATTGGAAGGCGAACTCGCTATCTTCTGAGCCATCAATGCTCCATTAAATCAGTCTATAATATTCCTTTAGCTGTGAGTTTCCAATTGTTAAAATCTAAAAATCATCTACACTCATATAAACATTTCTCGCAATGGTATACTGCAGTCAGAAAAAGTTATAACAAAAAGTATATTAAATTCAGAGAAAGAATACTTCTATGATAGATATCGGGACTAAAATTATAGTCTCTATACGTTATATAAATATAAGAATTTCTAATTCATGATATATTTTTACATATTATAAAATGTATAATATAGATACGAGGTGTTTCAGGTCATTCAAAGAACTACGAACGATGAAACCCACATATAACTTCGTATTTCCACAACTAGAAGAGCTTCAGCCACATGTCTTTTTGCACCAAGATGGTGCACCACCTCATTGGGGTATCATCGTTCGTAGTTCTTTGAATGACCATTTTACAGGAAGATGGATTGGGCGAGGAGGTCCAATTCCTTGGCCACCCAGATCACCTGATATAACGCCGCTGGACTTTTTTCTTTGGGGATTTATAAAGGACAATGTTTACAGGAGGATCGTGTCGAACATTGATGGCCTAAAAGCCAGAATTACAACCGCAATAGCCTCTGTGGATGCCGACATGCTTGCCGCTACCTGGCGTGAAATTGACTATCGACTTGATATTCTCCGTGCGACGAAGGGGGCACACGTGGAAGTTCATTGACAAGGGTCATGAAACTTTTTGAGTCTATCTAACCATTTATGTTATTAATTTTAATCTATCTTTATTATTTTCTGTGTTATTAAACATCAAAATGGGTCCGGGACTTTATAAACACCCTGTATATTTATATGCGAAAATTTTATAACAATATCTTAAGTGGGCCTCTAAAACCATGCGAATTGCATCTTAATACTTAAAAAATATGATTATTAAGGCAAAAGATATTCAGACAAAAAATATTATTTGTTAATATTTTGACCATACAGAAAATCCAAATATCATTTGTTTATCATTTTTTAGCATCATATCCCACAATTATCGTTTTTAAATATAATAATAAATTAGTTGATCAAATGTTTCTTTCCACAAATGACAACAAATTTCATATAAGCACTATAGGCATCACTTTTGCAAAGAGCGATTATATTTGTAATCTTTCAAAATATTTAAACTATTTGCCACATACGGAGTTTTTAACAACGTAATTAGGGATATAAGTTTATATATATCACGACAGAAAAAAGCAAACACTGGTAAGAAAATAATTTCATTCTAGCTTTTTTTCTTCCAGAAAACATAAGCGTGAAATATCGATGAGAACCAACATCTATCGATGAGAACCAACATCGAAAAAGCGAGTAATAATGAATAGTATGGAATAAAGAATAGTAATTCCTCTCTAAAACCAGTTATAATTGTTGCTGTTTTTTTTCCGTATCTTTTTCATACAAGAATGCCATCCCTGTTTTTAATGTATATTTTCCAAAACCATCTTAAAAATGTAGTAAAAAACTTGAAAATTTGGAGTTCAATATTGTATGTACTTAATCAAAAAACTTTTTTATAAAATCTGAACTTTTTCATAACTTTTTCATAAATTTTTTTCCTTATAAACTTTTTAATCAAAATCTGACGAATAATTTTCAAGTCAATTATAGTGAATTGCCATATAAGCATAAATATCAATAGTGAGGCTGATTTATGAAATTTTGCATTTTATACCTACCATCTAAATCAAATCCATGGGTAAGTTCATGGCCAATAGTCCACCCAAACGTTGATAAAGCTTTATATCTAGAAATATCAAAAACATTAGGTAAGCTATAATTACTTTTAATATCAACGTTTTTAATATTTTTTTCAAAGCTTTCGAACTTTATACAGTTAAAATATATAAAGAAATATATGATTTATATGATCAAAGTTTCAATTAAAAATTTCACTTAATCGAGGTAAATAGTACCACATCGTTTAGTGTGACAATATTTCCCTAAAGAAAAAATTACATTAGCAACTTTTTTTTATTCGACTTTGTGAACGCAATTTGTTTCCTGATTTTATTCTCTTTTGCCAAGAAACATAAAAAGGCCGCTATTTAAGGACCTTAACCCGAAGCGAAGCTATTATTTTATTCTATTTTCACACAACTATCTAGGCGTAATGTATACTAAATTTGCATAAACAATCATCTGGGATTCAGAACAGACAAATTGTTTAAATATTAATAAAAACCCGGAAATTATTAAACAAATTAAGAACTTAATTGTCAGAAGAGAAGAAGAATATTAGAATATTCATCTTCGTCATCACACGTTTAATCGTTAACTCTCTTACTCAAACTTAATTACCATTTCTTAGATTATTCTATTTTGTGATCACACGGTCACTCTCTGAATCGAAACTTAATTGCTATTTCATAGATTATTATGCTTTGTGATCACACGTTCATTCTCTTAATCGAAACTTAATTGCGATTTCGTAGATTATTCTGCTTTGTGATCACACTTTCACTCTCTTAATCGAAACTTAATTGTGATTTCTTTGATTATTCTGTTTTATGATCACACATTCACCCTCTTAGTGAAAACTTATTGCTTATGTTCTGCGATCACACTTTCAATCTTTTAATCAAAATTTAATTTCTCTGCCTTATATTATTCTGTTTTGTGACCACAAGCTCACTCGCTTAATCAAAACTTAATTGCTATTTCATAGATTATTCTGCTTTGTGATCACGCGTTCACTCTGTTGATCAAAACTTAATTATTATTGCTTAAGTTATTAGGTTCTGTCCTTACACGTTCATTCTCTTAATCGAAACTTAACTACCACTTATAAGATTATTCTGTTATAACGAAAATTTGTAAGAAACCATAATTTACTTACTTTGGAATGTTGGGAGTTAAGGAAAAAGACTGTAATTGAGCCAAAGTTAGAACTAAAAAAATAAAGCAATAGTTAATTCACCAAAAAATAATAGGCGTAATTTCATCATACAACTATCAACTTAAAATAGAGCCTTATTTAGCCTTTTTAAATCAATAGAATTTCAAAGATCTCGAGTTTTAAAATCGCATCGGCAAAATTCAAGACTATTATCAATTCATAATGAAGTGAAGGCAGTGATTTTATTTTCCCCTCTTACCTACTTGAACTTTCGATTCTTCGTAGCCTTGGGGTATTTATATTAGACTTGACAAACATAGGTCTCGAGGTGAATTTTATATTAAAAATCCTTTTATTGTTCGATACTACATATTCTAATATTTCAAACAAATTATAAATTTTGTTAAATACGCAAATTAGGCTTACAGTCTTCTATTATTTAATATTTTACCCGTAAGTATGAGTCACCTTTTACGGTTGGAGAGGAAAATCTATCCTAGTGGTAGCCACATATCTACATGTTATTCTGTAAATCTCATGGTTTTTATACTTTCAAAAATTATTGATTTACTCTCCAACACAAATGTAAGTTTTAAGGTTATGAATATAATGTCTTCTAATTAGGAAGTTATTTTTTTAAATTTTGAGTCAATATAGCAAATTTAGTTTAATTTTTATCTAACTTCAATTCTATAAGCTTCAGGCAAGATCTTTCAAAACTGTGCCAACAGTTTCGCCATGTAAAATCTTCCAAAGCATTTGATGCGAAAAGAAAAGATTGTTTACATAGAGTTAGTACAGAAATGTTTCCATATTTTTGGCCAACCCCTGTATCTTTGCTAAGTATTTTCGTCAAATTGAAAACGTCTCATAACTCGAACTGTTTTATGATCATACGAAGTACAAATAAATAAATAAACAGATGTTCCTAAGTTGAAATTAAAATTTTTCTTTGCTTTAAAAACTTCTGCTTTAATTCATTATACCACTGAGAAAAATATTTCATATATAGTAAGGGATAGATATAAGTATATAGTATATGGTAATGGAAAGACTTAATTTAGAAAAATACATGCTAATAACAAAATAAGGAAGTTACTACTCTTTACCTTTTCAAAAAAAGGTGCATGTGGATACATTGTTACTAGCATTGATAGGTAAATTAGGATAATATGACTCATTGGTCCATTGGTAAATTAATATGACTCAATACCGGACAAAGTTTTTTAACTATCCCGACAATTGAATTCAACGCTGTATTGTTTGAAACAGTCAGATTTTTTCCCCTATTGAACATTTTAATCCTGTCTGAACATGAAATTTCTGAACATTGTGTCATTAAAATTAAGTTTTTCTCTGTTATTTAGCAATTTATAACACTATTTTTAAGGTGTACTTTCTTAATCCTAATTAAACCATGTGGGATTCATGTTTATCGTGAATAATTTGCGTAACAAAGTTGTGTTCAATAATCCCCCTTTATATAAGTTGAACATCGAAAATGGAAGTTTATAAACACAATACTGTTTTACAAATCATTTATTAATATTTGAGTAAATATATCTCTATAAGCGTGAGGTTAATAATAGTAATACGTACTTATAGTATTTCCTCGAAAAAAGCTGTAAGCAGTGAGGTCAAAAGGAGATATAATCCTAGAAGAAAATATATTTTTTGTTAAAAATAAAGTTAAAACACGAGATTTGAGATTAAATAGTTCGGCTGAAATATTAAGAAAAATAAGAAAATATCTAAAATTTAGTAATGAAAACAATTTATTAAGTTACTGATTTCAAACACTGTGAGAAAAATTCGAATTTCTTAAAAATATCTGAAAAAGCTGTGAACCAATATCATTTTAATCCTTGCATTTAATACACTTGATAATATCTTGGATTACCTTGGATTGATAATATCTCTTTTATTGGATTACAACAACGTGTTTCTTATGATTGCAATATCCATTTTAATTACAGATCTTACTTTTTATAATCCATTTTAACTAAAGATCTTAATTTTGAATTGCACAATCTATTTTAAATAAAGATATTATTTTTCATAATCCAATTTAATTTACGATCTTAATTGTGAATCGCGCAATCCATTTTAATTAAAAAATCTTACGTTTTATAACCCTTTTTAGTTAAAGATCTTATTTTTCATAATCCATTTTAATTGGAGAGCTCACTTTTGAATTGAATAATCCATTTTAATTAAAGATCTTTCTTTAGAATTGCATTATTAATTTTAATTGAAAATCTTACGTTAGATCAGCATTATCCATTTTGTATAAATGTCTTACTTTTGAATTGCATAATCCATGTCATTTATTGTTTTGGAAAGTGATACGCCCTCTATAAGCTTTTGCATTCGTATGGCAAGTAGTTTCATTCCATTTTCTAGAAATGAGTCAGAAAAATTGCCCATCTAGAAAAAATTATACAAGCGAGATGTAAACAACTGTTTTTTTATAAAGCAAACATTTGCGATGAGAATATACATTTTTGAGTTATAAACCAAGTTTTATTTTACAAAAATATAAAAATTAAGAAATCACTTACGTTTGAATAAAAGGCATCAAAAAACGCATCATCTTTTCTTGGGTAAGCAATTTCAACTTGAATCTGATCAATCTATTAAAAAAAAACGAAATTTAAAACCTTTTTGTAGCTCTTTTTATGATAACACCATAATATACATTATAATAACACTATAATAACCAACATCATCGAAATTTATCTGGGCTATTGAGGCCGTTAGCGACCCTTTTCCTATCAATCTATAATAAACCCAATTGCGGATCTGCCAACTTTATACGTTTAGGGGGGGGGATTTCTGGTGGTAACAAATTTCATGTTTTAATGTATGATCCTTTGTTTACTAAGTAGGTAGGTAAGTACTTTATTTACGTCGCACTAGAGCTGCACAATGTCTATTGGCGACGGTCTGGGAAGCATCCCTGAGGATGAGCCAAAGACATGCCATCGCAATTTTCAACCTCTGCAGAGGGGATGGCTTTCCTGCTTTGGTAGCCAGACGACTGTGCGCGAAGTCGAGCACTTTACGGTAGAACAGATTAACGAGGACCAATACAGCGCACTGTCGGTCCTTACGCAGGTTGATCAAAGTGGTCACCCATCCTCTTACTGACCGCAGTCAGTGATGCTTGACTTCGGTGTTCTACTGGGAACCGTGTCTTAACGATCAGTCCACTGCGGGACCCTTTGTTTACTTAATTTGATTTTAAGTTATTTTCCCAAACCACTGTGAATAATTCAAAAATTCATGCGAAAAACCACTTTCTTCTAGTTCTTTTGTGGTGGGACATTCAAAATGTTGGCAAAATTAACAAAAGTTCTGAAGATTTAGTTTTGTATTCTCTAACTACCTACCCATCCTCTTCGAGTCAGCTGGCCCACAAGGTCTCAAGTTTCCTTTTCGAGACACCCCTATCCTGAACCAGTCCTCTTGCCTCCTCCCATCTACTTAATTTTCTTATTGTCTCTCACTGTATGAAATATATTGCAAAAAGCGTAGAAGTTGACAGCCCTGCAAGTGGCCTTTACCATTATCTGTCTTTTGATAGTGGCTAGTGGCCATTAACTGTGTTTTTTTTATGTCTAACTGGATTAATTTTTGCAGCAGGGATGGGATTTTTTCGTAATAAAAATGTATAATAAACCTTACCTTATGAGTACTTCTTGATCTATCAAATTCTAAGAGGTCACGTGTGTTCTTGAATATAACCTTAAATTCGTTTTTCACTCTTAAAATGACATCTTCCATCTGCAAACAAAGCAAAAATGACAACAAGAATTCAAAACATAAACATACGTAGCATTGAAAAAACTAAAGATGATTAAAATCTAAGAATAATGTATTTGCTTTTAATGAAGTGTCGTTAAAACAGACTATTAATGTATTTTCCAGATTGTGATGTACGAATCAAGAATCTGAACCTGTCGGGAAGAAAATATATTTGTTCAGAAAAGATTTATTATCTCGAGACCAAAAACAGTATAATGCTACATGACTATGACAAGCTGAATGACTGTATACAGGGTATGTAATGATTGCCCTTAATATACATTTTTCGAAATGATAAGCACATTAGGGGTTGCAAGTTAATGCTTTAGAAGGGAAAATATACAAATGAGACCGAAATTTATCGAATCAATGTTAACTTCTTCGTCCTGAGTTATGAATTGACAGATAACAAATCAATGACTAGATAGATACACTATACCACATACAAGTATATTAAATATGAAATATTTTTCCTCATTTTATCACCCTCTTTGAACAGTCTACATTATTTTCTGAGTTTATGACTACCGATGTTCAACTCCGTAACCTTGTAATTTTGAACTCAACCCAGATGACAAGAGAACTCCTGGTTCAAGTATTGGGAGAAATTCGCCTTCGTGGACGAAGACTTTTTGACAGTACTAACCCGCATTTGCGTTACATGGAGTGGAACCTCACGAAAACTTACTAAGGTTAACCTGAAGTAAAGGAACACTAACCCATAATCCGTTTACCACTGAGAATATTTCACGTCAGTACTGTGGACGGTGCGCGCCGAGTGAGAAATTCGTATTGACCAGAAATTGCTGGGATTCGAACCCGTGTCACCTCATTAGAAGGCGAGTGCTCTATCCCCTGAGAAATAGGAAATATTGTAATATTCTGCTAATTGCCAAACGAATTAAAACATTTTGTAATAGTAGGACATACCTGCCAACTTTTGTCAAAAATGATTTTCGTTAGTGATAGTTAGATGACAATTGAATTACTATTACATGCAGAAATATTTTTTTCCACTCTGCAAGAAACTAAACACACCATCGCCTGATTTTTATGTCTTTATGCTGATAAGTTTAAATTGTTCAGTTATATTGCTGGTCCATATCACGTTAAAATATATTTATTATTTCAAAATATTAAAAGAAAAAATAAGGTTTTTTTCAGCACTTCATAAAAATGAAATGTTACGAAAAATTCGTAAAAGTTGAAAACTATATGAAATTATGCCAAATGTTCATTTGTTTTTGTAACCCCCTCCCCTATTGTTAGAATTTCATGAAATTTAGTTTCAGGAAATATTTATGCACACTAAATTGAATGTAATAAAAACATTCATGAGTTTTTTCAGAAAAAGTGAGCTTTTTAGTCAAAATAAGCCCCCATATTTATAGTCAACTGTTATAGATAATTTAAGACATTTTTATGAGATATTGCCAAAGCACTTTACTGAATGAAAATCCAACCAATCATTCAGACGTTGTAAAAGTGATCCGTTTTTTTACTATACAGTAATTTTTCTTTTGTTGACTTTTTTTTTAAAAAAAATTTTCATTTTTTAATCAAGCAATATTAAAAAAATCTATTCGAACAAAATAAATTTCTATAAAAGGGTAAAAGAGCAAAAAAAAAATTATTTCATTATGCATAGCTAATAATGTTAAATTATACAACAAAATAAGCTCCCTGAATACTTTTTGCTACCAGAATATTTCCTACTTACCACATTTTCAATATCGTCATCGTGTGTGGCATTGTAATAACTTTTCAAAATAGCAATCGGATATACAATATTACACAAACAATATTAAAAAAATCTATTCAAACGGAAAAAAAATTCTTTAAAAGGGGAAAAAAGCCACACAAAAAATTTCGTTATACATAGTTAATAATGTTAAATTATACAACAAAATAAGTTCCCTGAATATTTTTTTGCTACCTGAATATTTCCTACTTACCACATTTTCGATATCGTCATCATGTGTGGCATTGTAATAACTTTTCAAAATAGCCATCGGCATAAGCTTTTTCACATATCCAACGCATTGTCTCCAACGCGGCAAGAGACGCTCTGAAGACATGAAGCGAAAATCCATTTTTTTCTTCATCAGACTCTGGTGACTCTCAATAACTTGTCGAAATGGTTTTCCCAAAAATCCCATATGATGAAACACAAACTTCCAAGTCAAATAATTGGCGATGACCCTATATCAAATAATTCATTGAATAAAAGTTCGAAAAAGAAATTCCCACCAAACATTTTAATTGTAAAAAAAATTATCATATATTACCACAACTGATTCACATAATGATGTTGCAGTATTTTCTCCACAAGCATGTAATTATGACCCATAACAGAATGTCTAATTATCAATAATATTCTCTATCATCATAATTTTTTCAAGAATACTCTACCATATCCGTGAAAAGTCACTGAACCTTCTCATGATCATGCTGACTGTAATGAGACTATCACCCAAAATACAGGGTTATTCATAATTCCCTCCGCCTGTAAACGCCATTTTTCTTTTATACAACTGGCTTCAGGGGTATATGTTACTGCCATCTACCGGCAACTGCTTAAATTAAAACTTGAATACTTTCGGAATAATTTCATATGTTCTTTTTTGCCATATTCGTCTTTGTTTTTTTACAATAACGCTTCGAAACCCCGGAGGGAATTATGAATAACCCTGTATACTGTCCTGCTATCACGAGAGTTTCCGTAGACGTTAGACCTGGTAGTTGTCATGGCTGCATTGGTAGTTGTCATGGTTACGGGGATAAGTCATTGTGAATTAAATGTTTGTTCTCATGCTATTCCTCAATAATGTCATCATCTTTCCCGTGATTGGCAGATCCTCTAAACTGTTTAGTTAAGAGGATCTTAATTTTGGTTTGCCTAAAAGGATTTTAATTTGCCTCCATCTTTGAAACCAGAAAAGAGGTTAAACTGGTTTTTATTACGGAACAAGTTCTGCCTGTTCCTGATTTATGATAGATAATCTCTGCCCCCTTTCTAATTTGAAAAGCTGTTTATTTTGATGTTGAACAAGATTAAGAGTAATACTTATATTTTGTCTGTAAGGTCATTTACATTTAAATTTGTTTCATTACAAAGTGAAAAAAGCTTATGTTTTCTTATCTAAATTGTTTTGCTCTTGTTTTAATACATCAGACTACCTCAGACATTCAGTTCTCTTGGTAGCTTGATAGTAGTTTTATGTCAAAATTATGGTCGCTCCGGATGCGATAATAGAATGTAAACTTGCCCCGGTGTGTGAGTCTGAATCATCTTTTTGGTAAGCAAGCTCTATTTCATGGGATATCACGGCCACATAAAGTTACCCAGAAATATTGTTTCAGCTCTTCAACATAAAGTAGATAATCAGAGTTGAAAAAAATAATTTTCAACCTTTTCATCCATTGGTAAGCAGTCTCAACTTATATCAAAAATACTCATGCATCTGAAAACAAGAATCGACTTAAGTGAAACGCAAATATGTTATCACTTTTTTCTTAGAAACGCTTTTTCTCATGACTCCAAAATAAGAATCTGACACGGGGAACATTCAGAGATATTGAGTAGGAAAACAACAAAATATGTCGGCTCATGATGAATTGTTTTTGTTGGAACAGCAAACAAAATCATCAAACCATGTTGGTTTTGCTCATGTGGGGTCAATATAAAGTAGTTCCAATTCCTAACTAGGAATGATGGTCAATCTTGATGATACCACCAACAAGTGAGATAGTTTTTGATGAGATATTGAGTAGGAAAACAATAAATACATGTCTGTTCATTATGAATTGTTTTTGTTGGAACAACAAACAAAACCATCAAACCATGTTGATTTTGCTCATGTTGGGTCAATATAAAGTTGTTCCAATTCCTAACTAGGAATGATGGTCAATCTTGATGATACCATCAACAAATAAGATAGTTTTAGATGAGATTTTGAGTAGGAAAACAATAAAATATGTCGGCTCATGATGAATTGTTTGTTGAACCAAAACAAAACCATCAAACCATGTTGGTTTTGCTTATGTTGGGTCAAAATAAAGTTGTTCCAATTCCTAACTTGTAATGATGGTCAATCTTGATGATGCCATCAACAAGTAAGATGGTTTTTGATGAGATATTGAGTAGGAAAACAATAAAATATGTCGGCTCATGATGAATTTTTTTATTGAACCAACAAACTATCTTATCCATGTTGGTCCAGCATGGAAAAACCATCAAACACTTGGGTAGAAACTACATGAAAACTTTTGTCTTGAGTAGAAACTACGTGTGAGATGAAATGTTCCTGCATGCGCGAATCATATGCAGCGAGAATACTCTATTAGCATTTTAATGAAATACTTATTTAATAAAAAAAAATGGCAAAGTAGAAAATGGCTTACTTTGATGATGTAGTGTGAAGTAAATCACTAATATCTTTAATGTAGTCTTCTAAGTGATCGACATAAACTTGTTGCTTGTCATGAGGGAAATGAAGTCGAAGATCAGAGAAAATAAGATTACGCCATCGAATCCAGTTAATCTGAATAGAAATACGATAAAACCTAATTACTATTATTCAGTTGAAATGTGTCATATATTGGGTATAGTACTAAAACTATATAACTATTGCACTTGCGTTTTTAACAACAATTTAAATTAATGTTTTGTCTTATTTCAACAATTGTCTCATTCTAACATCTCGTACTAAGATCGATGCAGTATTAGTTGTCTAGTTTTCCAGTTATAGTTTTTAAATGTGTAACTAGATAACTGAGTCATAAAAAATGTCTAAGGATAATTAAATAATTCCGCGACAACCCTTGGGATTTTGAAATACGCAAGCTAATGAGAAAAATCTCCAGCATTTTCCAATCAATCTGATACTTTTTAGGCATATTTCAATAAGCCCACCTATCTGTAAGCTAATTAAAAAAATATATCATGCGTTTTTCAGTAAGCATGATTTATTTCAGACAGTTTGCAATAAATCCAAAGTATTGTAAGCTTATTTTAAATTGTCAAGATTTATCGCAATAAGCCTAGGCAAATTTAGTCTGAGTTATTCTTTAGTTAGATGCATATAGGCTGGCTGCATTAAGCCTAAGAAATACCAAACACATAAAAAAAATATTGAAGAACCGCATTTTTCATCAATATTCGTGTAACTCGTATCCGAAAAATACTGAGTTATCTAGTTTTAGTACTAGACACACGCACTTTACGTTAGACAGGAATATTTTTTACAATATAAGTGAGAACAAATTGCTTAAATATTAAAAAAATGAATAATTAAATATATGTCCACCGTTTTGTTATACACATAGCGAAAAAACAAATACCGAATCGCTCACATATCTGATTTTAAGTGAACATTTATATTGAATATTAAAAGTTATAAATTAATATTGAAGTTTATTCTTATTAGTTAAATTTTATTTTTGACATAAATTTTTTTATTTAAAAATGATTTTGAAATTTTTACATGAACAATTATAACAGATACTCACGACCTAACAAACGGGCAGTGGATTTTTCAAGAACAGGTAAAATTAAACAAATAATTCTTACCTTAATTGTTTTTTCGCAACCACTTTAAATGTTGTGGATGCCAATCCTTCAGGATTAGCATCTAATATAAAATGAAGGGCTTGTGCGCGTGTCTCTCGTATAATTCAAAAACAACTTGTGTGCCACGGTCCTCCAATTTTTTGGGCTGTAGGTGCAAAGGAGAATTTTCGCCCCCCCCCCCTTTCTCGTATCAAGCATTTCAAATAATCCTTTCGGAAAATTTGAAAAATAAATTTTTCTCATTCGCTTAATATTAGGCATTGTTATAAATTAATCTATCTACAATTTTGCTTTTTTCTTTCAAATGTTTAAACCACACCTGCCAATTCTTCTGGATTTTAAGGAAGAATTTATTTCTATACTTTATATCGTAACAAAGTTTATACATTCACGCTTTACACTTGCTTGTATATATATTGATACAATATTAGATAGCACTCTTTTTTGTGGATATAATCGTGTGAGCTGATGAAAAGGTTATATCTATTATTTTCCGGAATTTTTTTAAAACTTTTGTCCTTTTTTTCGGATTGCTTCTTTTCTCGGTTTCTTGTCATTTTTATTTTTATTATTATTATTATTCCCCCCCCCTTCTTTCATTGTTCTGTAATTTTTCCCTTGTTTTCTCTACATTTTGAACTTATCTAATGAGTTCTGCTTACTTGCAGCTTATGAAACTTATTGTAACGAAACTTACTGTTTTTCTTAAGTTTCTTTGTGTTTTTTTGTATTTATTTATTATGCTATATATATATGGNTAATATATATATATGTTTAATCTTCGCATTTATAGATTTTATTTAAAATGATCATGACTACTGCTGCATTTAAATAAATTAAACATACAGACAAATGTACAACAATCTCCACTATTGCGTCGATAACTGCAAACTTATCACCGACTTATGCTTAATATAAATTCCGTTTAATTTTATAGGTGCTGCGATCGCCGCATCTTATTTCTAATTCATAATTCTTTCATTTTTCCTTTTATTTTTCTTTCATTTTTCTTCATTTTTCTTTCATTTTTCTCTGCACAAATCATGATGAATATACGACATGATTCAGTAAATCACTATGAAAAGGTGTAAGGCCCTTCCAGTAACGGTATACTAAAGGCCCTTTCAGTAATGGTGTACTAAAAGCTTTGAGAAATCTGAAATAACAGCTGACAATCTCAAGTATATAGATATTTCCCTAGGGGAATATATATAGGGAGAAAATATATAAGGGGAAAAAATTTTAAAAAGCGTAGAAATAGGCAGGTTTACAGCTTTGTTGTTAACAAAGCCAAAGTTATTGTGCTAGCTGTGTTATTGTGCTAGTATTTTGTTATTCTGCTAAGATGCAGCTTTGTTATTAATAAAACGAAGTGAGCTTCAGACATCAGTAAGGTCATCTCATAAAGTTTGTTGCTCATTTTTTAAATTTATTTTTGAATTCTTAATTGACGCGACAGTTAAGAACTTTAAAATTTATGATAACATCATAAAACAGTTGTCATCATTTTTAAACTTTTTCCAGACTGTGACCGCTCTGTAGTGATATGCATTTTACTCAAAAGCACTACGTGAACAAGTATATTTTACTAAAAATTATACAAAATGATATTATGTTAAAATAGTTTTATTTCATATCTGTATAAAAAAATTTTGCAAAAACAATCTGATATACCAGACAGTTTCACCATTGAACGTTGACATTAAAATTCGCTTTAAAGATAACAGTATTTTTTTTAATGAAAATTTACAATACCCTCTGCTGTTTTAGGACACTTAACATTTTAGTTTCATAAAGAAAACAGATGAAATTCTGCAATTACATCTAAATACGTATCTTTTTAATTGTTAAATTGTTTTTTAGTAGTTACGAGTTGGCAACAAATTTTTAAAGAGTCATTTAAAGAGTAATTTAAAAATCTTGCCGTAGAGTAAAAGTGTTTTTTTTTTCCGAATAATTGACAAGAGTTGTTTGTAACTTCTTTATTTGAATGCATGAAAATAAATTAGATAGATTTTACTTACCTGTGGAGCAATGTCGGCTAGTTTAAAAAGTGTTACATTTTCTTCTTTAAAAACATCTTTTGACCAGCTTGATTGTTGATTGCTGCTTGTCGAATGCTAAAATTGAAAATAAATAAATCCAATATTCAGTTTTCCTTAAAATACGAAAGCTAAAAAGCATTTGCGAATCAATTTGTTTAATCCTATTCTCTATGCATTAAATCACATTCTTTTTGTAAACTTTATGACCTGCAGTGATCCTAAAAACACGGTTCCCAGCATCACTGGCTGCAGTCAGTAAGCAGGTGCGTGGCCACTTTGATCAGTCTGCGTAGGAGCCAAGGGTGCGCGGTATCGGTCCCAGTTAAACTGTTCTACCGTGAAGTGCTCAACTTTGCGAGCAGCTCGTCGGGCTACCAAAGCAGGGGAGTCATCCCTTCTGCAGAGGATCAAAATTGCGATGGCATATCTTCGAATCATCCTCAGGGAAGTTTCCCAGACCGTCGCCAATAGTGCATTGTACAGCTCTTGTAGGCCGGGATAGCCTGGTCGGTAGAGTGCTGGACCCATGTCCGAGAGTTCGTGGGTTCGAATCCTGCCGGCCGAAGACTCCCNGATCCTCGTTAAACAGTTCTACCATAAAGTGCTCGACTTTGCGAGCGGGTCGTCGAGCTACCAAAGCAGGAGAGCCATCCCCTCTGCAGAGGATCAAAATTGCGATGGCATGTCTTCGAATCATCCTCGGGGATGTTTTCCAGACCGTCGCCAATAGTACATTGTACAGCTCTTGTGGGCAGGGATAGCCTGGTCGGTATTCCGCTGGACCCATGTTCGAGAGTTCGTGGGTTCGAATCCTGCCGGCCGAAGACTCCCCGTCTAGTAAATGGTGGCTGATGCACGTTAAATCTGTCGAGTCGAAAAGTCCTCCATGTTCCCATAAAAAATCAATACCTCTGGGAGTACTGGATTGGAGATCGATCCTTCTCTGATTCAGGTCAAAATTACGATCTGTGGATGAATGAATGGATGTATGAATGGGTCCACCCTATAAACAGGCTGTGACGTGTGTGTGGCTGAAGACGAATTCTTGGCCATACTGAAGAACAAGAAACGCACCCTCTGCCTTAAATTTGCTCGGGTTTCACCAAGCAGACTTGCTAGTGTGGCAAGTAGCATTAGAAACAACACCAACAGCTCTTGTGCGACGCAAATAAAGTTCCTACCTATTAAAACTTGATACGACATATCACAAGAATTTCTTTTACAAATGTAATTTTTACAATTATCGAACTTAATATAAATATTTTTTTAAATCATTGTCTCAAATCATATCGTTAAAATCTACACGCTGGGGGTCGTAAGCTTAAATTATTATTTAAGAGTGTGAAAAAAATAATAAAAATAAAATAAAAGCTGAGGAATCAGTAGCAATATCAATCACAGCAAATGAGGCATTAACGTCATTAGAACTAGAACACAGGAACCGGGATAGCCAGCTTAGTAGGGCGTTCGTCCAAGGTCAAGTGGTCGGGAGTTCGACACTCGCTTGACGCTAAATCAGTCGGGGTTACGAAGTCCTTCAAGTTCCCATAACAAATCAATATCTCTTGGGGTACTGGGTCGGAGATTGATCGTGCTCTGGTTCAGGTCAAAATTACGATCTGCGGGTGAATGGATTTTGTAAAAACGTGTCCTTTCTGTAAACAGACTGCGTAGCCAAATTATTCAACAAAAAATAAGCACCTTTTAAGCACTTTTCAAGCACTCGAAAATATTTTTAGGTACTTTAAAAGATATCATAATTACGCAGGGTTGGAAAGTTTTTGACAATTGACGGTTTTTATCTTGTTTTAACCATCATGTCAACAAAAAAAAACTTTTGGCATTGTTTTTGACAATTGTCAAAAATCATGAAATTTTGAATCATGTAAAACGAATGGCGTTTTCATTCGCTACAAACTGACAATACGCCGAAATAGATTGTGGTTGAATTAATTGTGAAAACGTTGAATAGAACAATGTGAACTTGTGTCTTTTTGCATAATTCGAAGCGAAAATCAACATGATAAAGGAAAAACTCTCATTTTGAAAAAGCGAAAATTAAGCACTTTTTAAAAACACCCAATGAAAAAGCACCTTTAAGGGCGTTTAAAGAACGAAAATCAAAAATAAGCACCTTCAAGCACTTTTTAAAAAGCTGCGCACCGTGGTGAAATGAGCTGTGACGTAAGCGTGTGACCGAATTCGAATTCTTAGTCATAAATGGAGCCACTGGAAAACAAGAAGCAGAACACCCCTCTGCCGTAAAATAAGCTCGTCAGCATTGTTTAATGGCATAAGACACAACATCAACAACACAAACAAAGTTATTTACCTTAGTAGCATTGCAGAAAAGATAGTCAAACTCGAAAAGTTCATCGATGTCGGCCTCTGTTGTGTTCGTGACATTCACTTCTAAAATGTCCAATACAGACAAGAGTATCTGCCTGTGTTCAGCAGCTTTTTCAAAAGCAGTCGTTAAATTACCGTTTTCATCGTCACAGATTCCATCGATTAAGGGTTCTGCAACATCAACCTGAAAATATTTCATTAAATAAGTGATTTTTACTTACATTTTTAACTCGTCAATTGCATCTGTCAATAAATTTGTAATCATTTATCAGAGCTTGAATGCATTTTACTATGTTTCTCGTAATTCGCATTCGTGTCCATTTCTTTGTCTGTTTGTACATTTGATTATCATTAAATTTCAACAAACAGGAATTTATTTGATTTCTATAAAGAAAACCACATTAAGATAAATTTTTGAAGTGTTCTTAATCGTGTAAAATTACGCTTAATCTTCGAACAAATCATTTAACTTTCAAAAAGAATTTCAAACTATGTCAGGGGCGGTGGAAAAAATTGTCCCACTTATTTTTAAACCTCTAATGTTCACATAATTTTGAAGAAAATGTCCAAAAAAGTGCCTATTTTTTCATTCAAAAAAATTTTTAAAGCTAATTGTATGCACAACATATGTATTCATTTTCAATTTTTAACTTGAAATAAAATATACATGTTTGATGAGTGATGTTATCTAGTTTGAAATAAGCCATATCTAAACACATTACAAAGAGTCTGGTACTGCTATCTGATTTATTGATTGAGAAATAAGCATGATTCCGAGCATCAGAAACTAAATATATATAAATATAACAGAAAAAGACTCAGAAAAAGCATTTCACTCTATTTTTAAAAGAAATAAATCAAAGAAATAAAAGAAATAAATCATTTTTGAATACCTAAAATATCAGTACACATCGCCATAGCGGCACAACTCAAAAAAATCAAGTTTTGAGAAAAGTTTTGGTTTAAAGTTTTCATTGCTAAGCAAAATACGTAAGAAATGCTTTCGTTTGTTTAAACGAAGATTACCTTCAAGTTGAATTATGAGTTGTGCTAGTATTGCTGCTGAAAGAATGTGTATTTTAATATTTACACCTGTTCTTAGTTCAAAACGCGTGTTTTTTATACGACATAGATGTTTTTTCAGGCAATCGTGGCCAGTTATCAGACGAAAAAATGGCAACAGATTTCATCCTAGGCCACTGAGGGACATTGAGAATCTGTTTAAGCCATGCTTTATTGAAATGACGATTTTTGAGTTCCTCGTGAGACAGCCCATAAGCGATATGTGCTCAGTACTACAATTGCTCGTTGTAAAAAAAAATAATAAATAAATAAATAAAAAATAAAAAAAGAATTTCATAAAACTAGGAGGCTCCGCCCCCTGCTCGCTAACGCTCGCCAACCCCCGAGAATTGCTACGCAATCCTATGTGGTTCACGCCGTGAACCATGGCTCTCTGCGCTCGCTCGCCAATGAACACAATGTTCTAGCACAAAGACATAATATATTATCATCAAAGACATAGTATTTTATCATCAAAGACATAGTATTGTACTTATGTAGAAGAATTCTACCAATGTTCTTATTGGCTTTTAAAAAAGTATATTAGCTATTTAGATTGTACATGGTGAAAAAATCAAAACATTAGCTAAATAAGAAACATATTAGCAAAATAAATTATCAAATATTGCTTCACTAATATTCTGCATTTTAAAGCGTGAAAATTCAATGCATAAATAAACGCGAAATATAAAAAAATTCAATGCATTCAATACAAACACTTAAACGTTTTTTAGACGTTTAGGTAGCTCCCAGTAGAAAAATATCAATTCAACAGCGGCCTTTTAAAGCATTCTCACTTCAATTAATTAATTAATTCCTAATTGAGTTTAAATTAAATATTGTCATGTTTTTAGTGCATGAATCTGAATTGAACAACCTGATAATGCTCACTCTGGTTATTGTTATCTGGTTGCTCACTACGTGCTCTTGCGCGCCGAATCCAATCAATTAAAAATGAAAACTGTTGCCAGCGCGAGAAAAGAAATATCATCGGTTTTATTGATACATACATACATACGTACGTATTAGCGTTTTATATAATATAGATTGTAGCTATTGTAGTCAAGTCAGCACAAGCTCTGGTGAAATTTTCCCTATCCCTTCTTCAGATTTTAATCTAAAGCAGTCGAATTATATATTTTGAAAAATTTTCTTGCATGCAATTTGTTAAAAGATGAAAAACAATTTAGAAGCATGAAACATTTAAAACATGGGAAAATGGACGTACTTACTACTACTTGAGCTTTGTAATCATCTCCTCTGAATTGTATGTCAACACGGAAAAGCGAGTCCACTCCCAGAGCATTCAGTTTTGCCATTTTCCATTCAACATCCAAACGACAATCTTTCCATTCGGGTTCAAGCAAAGGCCAATCCCCTACACCTTTGCTCGAAAGTACTTCCTTTAAGGCTAGCAAGGAAGTTTCTTCAATATGGTCTAAAGAAAAAAAATGTGTTACTAATAACTTAATAATGAGCCATGATGGCTCAGCGGTTAAGATCCTGAACTGTCATTAAAAAAAAACTGGGGTTCGATCCCCAGCGAAGTCTGTAAGCCTAAAAATCTTAAAATTGATGGTAGGGTACCAGCTTGCCTGAGAAGCGAAAGTGGTCAATGTGTAATGCAATACACATTCATGCCATTAGTCGCGAAATTACGTCGCCATGGCCTCCTGACCCACAACGGGCTGTTGCGGGAATGCTTAGTTTTGAATCTTATAATAATAGTTTTAACATGAACATCAATTACAAAAAATTATTAATAATTAATTTCTATTTTAAAGAATTAATTTCCAAATATTCTTCTATTTTAACCGGAAAATTTTCCTCCCTCCGTTTTCGAATCATCAAAAATAACGGTTTCATGATTACAATGATTATTAGAATGGTTTTTTTTTGCCAATACCCACCGGGAAAATGACCTAGGTCATACAGGCACCTGAAGGACAGATTTGTTGGCCACTCTTTCAGGGGCACCATATTAGCCGGACCAACGTTGCTCCCACAGTAAGAACAGATAGTACAGAGAAGGAAAGAACATTCATGCCTTGCCCGAGACTCGAACCCAGAACCTTTCTGGTGCAAGGGCAGTTCCCTAACCCCTACACAGGCCGGTCGGCTGATTATGCGAATTGGAACACTTTTTTATATAGAATTGTAAGCTATCTTAAGTCACGGATGTTATCTTTTAAATTAAATAAAATTTCAAATGAACGAAGGAATCGCCTGCCGATAAATCCTATCCTATTGGAAGCAGATCCTCAAGGTCGTAGTGTGCAGTGCAAACTCGTAGTGGTCATAGTGGTTATCGGAATTTTAATGTCGACACTTCTGATTTCTGCGTCCTAAAACATTTGTGTTCCCAATTTGGAGAGGAAAAAGTCCAAAATTGTGAATTTGTGTAAAGAACATACATACACGCATACATGGTATGTTATATCTAAATGAAGAGAGAGTAAATTTTTTGCTACATATGAATGAAGCAAAACAACATGAATAAAGAACAAATAAATTAAATGAATGAAAATACATGAATAAAGAACAAATAGATTTAATCAATGAAAATACAAGTTTCTACATAAGTGATAAATTCTTAATTTTCAAACTTTAAAAAAACTTACTTAAATCCATACATGAGTTGTAGACTGTTCTAGCATTTCTTAAAGATACGCTGTCATTTACTCTATCGTTCTCTTCCAGTATACCTGAAAATTAGAATAAATTATTATATTTATTTAACATTTTAAGAATATTAATGTTACTCTTAAAATTGTATATCAATGCATGATCAAATTTAAGTAAAATTAAAATTTTATCTCAGTTTAGAAATAATTATATGACAGGAAAGCACATATTTTTTATGTAATAACAAGAACACTAAGAAGATCAAAATGTTATACATATTAGGTTTAAAATATACTTTTAAAATCAATTAAAAAATTGGAATGAAACTTTTTTGTCTCCACAATATTAAAATAATGAATCAGAAATGAAGTGAAAAAAATGTTTTCTTAAGCCTCATATGACGTCACCCTTTCATTTCCCTCTATTTTGTTCTGTTTATATAAGTGGCTTCCCTTTTAGAACTCTAGATCATAGCTGTGACTTTTTCTTCTCCTCGTGTTTAGCACTAATATCACTTTTTTTTTTAAATTATCTTAACCTTTCAAAAGAATATGAGAAAAATATTTTTTGTCAACTGTTTTGAATTGTCCATGGGAAGCTATTTCGCCAATTATGATTAATGCGTCCACCTACTAACAACTTCATATGATACAAAAAATACGAATGTAGAGTTATGTTTACATAAATGTAACTTACAGTATAGGTTTGCGTGTGGTCAAGAAGAGAAACCAGAACTGGAAAACTATTTTCTCCAATGCGTATAAAAATTAGTCATTTGATCATTTCTCAGCGAGTTTATTTGTAGTTCATAAACTCAGAACTTATAAATTTGGTTATTTATGAGCACAGAAGCTCTAGTTTACGGCCAATTCTTAACAGTAAATAAAATTTTGAAAATCCCACCCACCTTCCCATATAAAATTGGACTTTGATTTTAGGTAATAAGGTAAATGAAATTCTTTTCATTATTCAATCTTAACCTGAAATTTATTTTAAGATAACATTTCTTGAAAAAAACAGCCCTATAAAAGTTTAACACCGTCTACAATTTTTTTTTAATTTTCAGAAAAAACTTATAATTTTCTTTTAATCGTTGCGATTATTTTTAATATGTTCATTTTTTAATTATCCAAAAATTCTTATACAAACAAAGGACATGATGCTTTATTGTTTATTCTAAATTATGATCCGATTTAATAAGAACAATTTAAGCATAAAGCAATGAAAACAACCATTTTTAAAATAAGTTCAGGCTGAATAAAATAATAAATCTATTCATGGTAAAAAAAAAATATTCTCTAAATAACGTTCTCTATTCTACTACTTCTTTAATGCTCTTTACCGTTTGCACACGACACTCCTATATTTCTTACACTAAAATATTTCTTAACTCCTAAAAAAATCGAACATCTTTTACATTAAAAAAAAATAAATAAGTTCTTCACAAATTTTTAAATTTTTTATGCGTAAAATTTTTTTTTCTAATATTGTAAATCTTTCTATTGATATGATAGCAAAAGATGTATGCTTACTTTTTATTTTCAACTCGACTTCTTCATTTGCAATATCTATACTTCCAAAAGAATCCCACCCATCTGGTATTGAATAAGAACGCAGAAAATTTCCACAGCTATAATTATAAAAATCATCACATGGATCGACGTTGTCATCTCGCCATTTCAACAATTTTGCAGCTGAAAAATGGTAACACATTTACACGCTATAATTATTATTGCATAAGTAGAGTTGCGAGAGTTATTCATAGTGGGAACAAAATAAATATCAAAATTGTGTCACATAATTAAGTCATTTGTATCTAGAGTCTTTTTAAAATGAAAATTACCTTTTTAAAAAAAAGTGGTAGCAGAAGTGGTTCATTGCTAGGATTAATTTTGCAGAAACAAGGTTTCCGTAATATGTTAATAATATAGATGTGAAATAAGCCACATTACTGTTTTAGGTGGTAAACAGCCTCAAGAGCCTAAATAAGCTTCGATGATGATGCACGTTACTTTTTTTGAAGTTAAAGGGAAAGCTAACGGAAGGAAATATTGTTGTTGTTGTTGTTTCTAATGCCACTTGCCACACTAGCAAGCCTGCTTGGTGAAACCGAGCAAATTTAAGGCAGAGGGTGCGTTTCTTTTTTTCCAGTGGCACCATCTATGGCAAAGAATTTGTCTTCAGCCACACACACACGTCACACCCGCTTATAGGGCGGACCCATTCATACATCCATTCATTCATCCACAGATCGTAATTTTTGACCTGGATCAGAGAACGATCGATCTCCAATCCAGTACCCCCAGTGGTATTGATTAGTTATGGGAACATGGAGGACTTTGCGACTCGACAGATTTAACGAAGAAATATTCACTTGATATAAACCGATATGTACATTCAATCTTTTCAGATAAAAGATATAAATGGCATTTTGTGCCTGGGCATAAATGGATTTAGTTACAACCAGTTATTTATTAAACTACTACCATGTATCTTCCGAGCAATTATTAAAGTAATAAGACAATTATTAAGTTTCTACTACATATCTGTAAGTCAATTATATGACTACTACCACATATCTGTCAATCAATTCTTAAAGAATGAAGGCAATTATTAAGTCACTACCACATATCTGCCAATCAATTATTTAAGTATTAAGACAATAAGTTACTACCACACATCTACCAGTCAATTATTAAGCTATTACCACATCATGCAATCAATTATAAGGTTGACTGACACATATTTGACAATCAATTATTATTTTATATTGCCATATTTGTCAACACTTTTAATCTTATAAAGAATTATTTTTTCAAGCGGTAATAAATTGAAAATTGATTTACAATTTCTAGAGGAATTACGTTTTTATTTTGCCATAGCTTAAACATAACATGGTATGATAATCATTTATTTAAATGTTTATTTTATTTATTTATATGCAGTGGTGGTTAAAATTTTTTCAAATTATATTTATAAATCCAAACATTAAATAGAAAATCATAAATTTTGTTATCTCTTAAAATAAAATCTTACATAAAATCCATAAAAGTGGGCAGTTATTCGGCAAATCAAAGATAAAGCATGTGATTATTTCGGGATTGTATTTCGTGAGAAAATATTTGTATTTCTTATGAAAAACCACAATTTCAAATAGTTCAAAATCACGTTTTTTGGTGAAATATATTGTGAATAAATAGCAATAAGGAATTCATGTAAAATGTACTGTTTTAAAGCATAAATTTCAAAAACATTTAAAGCACATATCTGGTGAAAGACTAAGGAAGTTTTTGTTACAATAAGGTCACTATTGAAAAAAATGGACTATCACTATATCTCTCCGAGCTTTACAATTTATACGTTTTAGTAAATTAAATAAAATAAAAAAATTCTGGTCTTCTTCAAAATGCACTATGTTAGTAATTTCACTACCAGCTGGGAAAATTCCTTCACAAAAGCGCAAAATGCATAAAAACTAGCTACTATGATTAAAAGGAAATATGATTATCGCATGTATGATTAATTATTTTTTAATTAAGCATTCAGTTTTTTAAATGAGTAGATTTTAAACTCATTTGATCTAAACCCTATTGATATAAACCCTATTATCCTATTGATCTAAATCCTATAACCCTACTTTAATATTAATATCATAGTTTTAAAATTATTTTTAGACGTATTGTACTTAAATAGGTAAATTCAACTACATTAGAAATAATACTGCAATGCTTTCGAAGAATACTTAAAATGATGTTTAGTAGTGATTTTAAAAATGCATGACATGATATCGAAATTCATAATACACATGCGTTTACATGCATAATACACATGCAAATTTTATGTACAATAACTTCTGTATCTCTTACATGCTACATTTGTTTCAGTAATACATTACCTGCTAGAACACATGATTCCGAAATACAACTAGGATATCTTTTTCCAAAATAATTTTGCCCTAAAAATAAATAATATAAGTATATTTATACATATATTAAAGCATTTAATAATTAAATGTGAAAGAAAATTCAAATTAAATTGTAGAAGCTTCTTTTTGCTCTAGATAAATGAGTAATTTAACCATTCGCACTCCGAGTATTTTCAAATGCTGTTTCATTTAATTATCAGCACTACAGCATTTAAAATACTCAATATTCTATTGTTATACAATTTTAAAATTCTTAAAAAAATGTAGTTACTAATTATTAAGGTATAAAATCTCTTAATTTTAAAGTGATGACTGCTGATGGTGCCTCCGCGGGGACATCCGAGTGCAAAGGGTTAAATAAATTTTGTCTGCAAAAGCACCGTAATAAAACAGTGTTTCCTCGTTCAAACTATGCGTTCATTGGTGTGCATAAAGTTTTCATAACCCAACATTCTACTTTTTCAATAAACAGAACTTTGACCCGAGGTGACTCAGGTAATAGAGTGTTCGCCTCCCAATGAGTTGACCCAGGTTCGAATACCAGCGATCGCTGGTTGGTACGAATTCTGCTCCCAAGTAGAAGTTGAAATTGAAGCTAAAACATGTTTAGCCACTGCATGAAAATATTGATACGAGTTCCTGAATTTTTCCAGGTGATCCGTGGTTTGTCAGGAGATATATTGTCATGGGGACAGTCATCCCCCCCCCCCAATGAGGAGACTCGGGTTCAAACTCCCGCGTTGGCTAGTCGATATTATTTCTGCACCCACTGCTCGCCACAGTTCAGACGACGTAAAATATCCTCAGTGGTAGAAGGATCATGGGTTAGAATCCCTTTGCCGCTGGCTAACCGTAAATGGCTTTCGTGGTTTTCCTCTCCATGCAACACAAATGCAGGTTAGTTAAATCAAAATGTGCAAACTAGACGAAGGCTAGTTTGCCCTAGTGCTTGACCCAGGGGTTCTCTTATCATCTATATTGGGTTCAAAATTACAAGACTACAAGATTGAACATTGATAGAGGTAAACTCATAATTGGCTTGGCTGTTCAATCTCGATTATAAAATAAAACAAAATGCACATCATTACAAATGTATAGCCTGGTAATCACGAGGTAAACTCTCGGTGATACTGCTTTCATTAAGGTCTGGTACTCATTGTGTGAGTGCTAGACAGTATATGTACACTGAATTCCTCTTTAAAAAATGGTATTAAATCCTAGTAAAAATCACCAAACTTTGCTGTTAGCTAAATTAAGTAATATATTTTTAAGTCATTGTTGAAAAAGGAAAGCCTGAACATTTGAATGGTTTATAATAATCGATCGTCGAAAAACAAGAACCTTAAATAATTGTGGTTCATAATATTATCAGTAAGTTGGATAGTTTTAATTTTATCATCCCGAAAATGGTTAAATGTGAGTAAAGGCAAGTAACCATGCAACATAACATACCAGAAAAGTGTAATCAACTTTCATTCAAAAGTATGAGAGGTCACTTACCATGCTTAAAAATATTTCTTAACATGTCATTACTAATTAGAATGTCAATTCAGAAGTTATGATTAAGGAAAGGAAACACTCAAGGATCAATTGGCGTGACAAGTGTCAATTAGAAGGAGTTAATCACCAAATGTAGGACAATTGTCGAATATAATCAACAATGCAAATGTTTTCGTTCTAAACATACCAACAGTTTTTAAAGTAGACGCTCAAAACTTTTAGGGGTGCTGAACAAGATCATTGGCGTTGAAATATGTAAAGAATTTCTAAGAAATTACAGGGTGTGACAAAAAAAAAAACTCGGACAAAGTTAGTGCATCTAAGAAGCTAGGAAAATGACAGTGTTAAATCGTTAGTTCGCTCTATGCATAATCGTTTTAAACAAAAGTTTGGACTCTCTAAAACAATTGCTTCTTAGAGAATGGAATTGAATAACTTGCGGCCTATTACTGAAAATTTAATAATCGCTTGCGTTGCTTTAATTATAAGATAGATAATGAAACAAATTATCAACTAGCAAATAAATTTTATTTGTAAGGTTTTTTTTTCATCAAAACTAAATAAACTATCAATGTTATAAATTTCGGTATTTTTCTAATATGCTATCGTTACTTTCCAATATGATGTAGTTACTTTACTTATTACGGTTTCTTATCGATAATTGATTTGGGGATATTAAGAAAAACATTAGTAGAGAAAATACAGAGGCAATGGCATTTATCTTTAAAAGAAAAACTGTGTAAGGTATACCAGATGGTGGCACGTACCCTTAAAAATCATCAGTGTAGGGTATACCGGGCAAATGTATACCGGTAATGGTACTTAACCTTAAAAAAAATCACTATAGTGGAAAAGCGATTATTAATAATAGCTGTATTTTTCTCTTTTGTAAGGGAAAAAAAACTCAACAAATAAAAAAATTTATGTTTATTACACAAGTAGATCGTATAGTGGGATAATACACAAATTTCTATAAGTAAAGAGCAAACAGAAATTTGAAACAATAAATAATACGCTTTAAGGCAAAAAATTAATTGAAAAATTATATAGTTTAATAGCGGTATTGACAGACAATATAACCAAGTAAATGAGTACTAAGGTTGAAAAGTTAAACTTAGCCTTTAAATTTATTTGACGCGTTTAATTAGTCATTAAAATGAACTAAACCTTGCCAACCAGTTTTATTTATTTTTTTAAGCCTAAACGAAAGATTTTTTTTGCTGCTGAAAGCTTTTCTTTCCTTATTATTGACACCCAAAAGTTGAAAGTTAACTTATCTAAATCCTAAATGTGAGTATTTATATACGTTAGGGGGACATCCATCCGCTGCTGGTGTCCAACCTCTTATCTTCTACTTAGATGTCCAACCTCTTATCTTCCACTTAGGTGTCCAACCTCTTATCTTCTACTTAGGTGTCCAACCTCTTATCTTCTACTTAGATGTCCAACCTCTTATCTTCTACTTATCGGTTATAGCGACCATGTGTTGGCAACTGCTATTTCGAGTTGTCCCCTCACAAGCATTAACACTCATGACTAATAAATACGAATTTTAATATCGCGATGTATTTTCAAAAAATATATCACGATATTTTAACGATTAAGCTCATTTATATTATTTTTAATTAATCAATATTGTTACCCAAATCAAATTTAACAACATTCTCAATAATGTTAATCAGCAGTGTTGAGAATACCGGGCAAAGGCAACATAACCTTAAAAAAATATCAGCGCAGGGTATACCGGGCATTCTATAGTTATCACTTTGCATGATATTCCCGATATTGTCATATTCGATGTACCTATATGTATTATCGGTAGTCGGTGACCCGTGTAAGTCAGATGGCGTTGCTCGACTGGGGATATTTCCGTATCGTGATCTGTCACGCCAACTACAATCGCCAAGGTGCCAAAGAGAATTTAAACTTGCAATTTAAAAAAAAAAACATGTAGATGTCTGGCCGGGAGTGGCTACGAGTTATACCTTTCGAGTTGGTCCCTTTCTGCGTTTTCATTTTTATTTTTTTTTTTTTTAAGTTTCTTACGGGCCATTGCCCAAAGGTTTCCATGACTTGGTGATTATTCAACCACAGATCACGATACGGAAATCTTCCCCGCTCGACTTGTTGGAGAACTTGACTTTATACCGACTTCATAAATTAAAGTAACCGACAAACAGATTTTTTTTTCCTTTTACAAAGTTAATGATATTTTCATTTAAAAGATAATAGTATTAAGTTTGAGAATTCAAAACTTGTGTTCAAAAAATATGTTAATTAATTATTGTTATTATTATTAATAATTGATATTAAAAAGTTTTGGCGATAGAATTTAATAAATTTAAAATTATGTTATAAATCGAGCATGCTATCAGCGAGCCTCACGCTATTTTTGTTTATCTTGTAGAGTTGCACTTTTGTAATCTGGCAACTTCTTTTTCTTGTATATCTGAGTTTACTTTTTCTAATCGTTCTTTTCTTTTTTTATTTCTAAGTTCATATTAAATACTAATTTAAAATAGCTGTCGCCTTTATTTTGCTAATATTTACAACAGAAATGTCGGTTGGACAGTAAATAAGCATATTTATTTTTAAAATTACCAATAACGGTTTAATTTCATGTTTCATGAATTTTCGATAACTTATGTTCGGCTGTATATTTGGTTCTAGCATTCTTTAATTTTGCACTTAACTTATGAATTTAGCGAGCTTTAAGAGTGTTCTATTGTTTCCATAGGCTTCGTTAGCTTCAATTTTTAAACATTTTGTGAGAATGATGTTTCTATGACCATTTAACAATCTTAAACAATTGTTGAACAATAGTTTTCATCAATGAAATTTCGTATCTTAATATTGCATCCGAGCTACACGATGTCAGGAAGAAGTGATCATTAACAAACCAAGCCATGAAAATTTGCCGACTTCCAAAGAAAAAAAAACAAGATTCAAATGGTGCCGCATTGTTAGCAAACATACATATTATAAAAACAGACTACCCTTTTTATATTTATAGAGATGTGATAATTTTTTTAACATTTTTAACAGTTCATGGCGTGTTATGGAGCCTTATACACCTCACCCTATTTAAAGTGCATCCTGTATTATTTAGAAGTTATTGCTAACTATTAATGGTTTTATTAAAAAGAGGAGACAATATAATTTTAAATAAGAGTTGTTTTAAATAACAAAGTATGTTATAAATAACGAAAAAAGGTTTTAAATAAAGGAAATTATGTTAAAATTTATATACGAATACCTCGCTTGCTGATAGTTCTGCAATCATTTCCTACGCACCCCTCATTTTTTCGCTTGAAACCTAAAGATAAGAAAAACAAACTGAAATAAATATGATGATTTTTGTGCAAATACATATTAAAAAAAAATATAAGTTATACAAATCTAGGTTTATTAAAATAAGAAAAACATGTGTGCCAACTTTTCACGCAAGATTTTAGCTAGTTGCATCACACTTCATGCATAAGTATTTAAATATTGGTTCAAAAAACTTAATTTAAAATTATTTTTAATTGCAAGGATCTAACCAACTTTAAAAAATACATACTGGTAAATCAACTTAATAGAATTACGCTTAATAGAAAAGTTTCTTCTAGTGGTAGCATAGTTTATGCTTTAATATATGATTCTTTGTTTAATAAGTTTGATATTAAGTTATTTTCCTCACCACTACATGGGAATGATTCAAAAGTTCAAATAAAAACCCACTTTGTTCCAGTTAATGCAAGAATGTTGGCAAGAATGTTGGCGAAATTAACTAATGTTCTGAAAGCTTTAGTATTTGATTGCCTACTACTCTTCAAAATATTTTGGAAAAGCCTAGTAGTTGGCAGCCCTGCGTATAACAGAACTTTGAAAGATGCTTTCGTAGATGCTAACCCGGAAGTTGCAGTGTTCCACAATTCTGATAGCGAGAAATAACAATTAAATTGAATCTAAACTTATTTACTTTAACAAGCAAATAAAAAATTCGCAGCAAAGTTTGCAGTTTATGATTACGCATAATTTAAATTGTTTAAATTAATTACGTATTGCGGAGATCAAAAATCATTCTGAATCAAATTTATTGCTCCGAATATAAAATAGTAAATTCTGAAATTTAGTGCCCTTTTAAAAGTTTATAAAATCTCCCGTTTAAATGGAAGAAGTTCGCATATATGAGTGGTAGTTAGTAGAGTGGAGGTTTCAAGTTCGGAGGTTCATAACTCTGGATTAATTTTGTAATGTTTAACTCTGACTTGTGCTACGTGTACTATAATTTGATAAGGGCTTTTAAGCCATACTTTGCAATGAGTACACAAGCCAACATATGCATATGTAGCAATAAATAACATGATGTGGATCTGTTAACTTCCCTTTATTTTATCGATGCAAATTTTCCCACTTATAGAGCAATACATTAATGATAAATGTAGGTATCTATTCAGCCTACTCGGGCTGGAATAAGACTAGAAAGCTTTTATTTGTTTGTTTGCTTGTTTTTTCTGTAATTCTGAGTTCTTAAAAATGATAACAGATATTTACTTAGCATTCTAACGTTAGATAGTAACTTAGAAAATATTTTTTGGTTCAATACTAATTTCCAGTTAGTAGACAAACTTATATTTAAGTTAATCTAATAAGCTGGAGTCTTCTGCTGCATTTTTTACAATTTACCTTTGCACTTTTTGATATTTTTTTTTATATAACCAGCTTAGAACTGCAAACCTATTTTTGACTATGAGTCTTCAATTCCGTAGCCCTGTAATTTTGAACTCAAACCAGAAGATAAGGCTGCTACTAGATCAAGCTTTACGACAATTTTGCCTTTGGAGAACTTTCTGATGGAACTAAGTCACATTTTTATTATGTAGAGAAAGAAGAACTTTATTTGGGCACCATGTTAAAAGCATATTGTCAATTATACTTAAGACTTTTATAGTTCTTTTAGAGATATTTCCAGAGATTAGCTGTTAATTATAGGAAGAGACAAAATACTGGCAGTAATAACAGTTTACTTCTTCTTTTTATTCAAAATAAATAAACTATCTGTAACTAACACTACTAATTAATAGTTATTATGGAGATTTCAGAAGTATGTTTGTTGAAATCAAGGAAAAACTTGACCTTCGAGGATTGTTTACTTTTTATGAACAAAAAGAAGTATTGAAACATTCTTACTATAACAGCAATTATTCACTGCAACATACAAATAACGATTTTTTGTCTTTTGTAAGGTGATGATAGCCTGTTAAATGATCTGTTCAATGCCTGTTAAATGCAATGAATGAATAGGAACCATGGAAAACTTCTCATGGTTCTCTTCCCTTTTATTTCCATGGGCTTTTCATGAAACTCTTCTCCTTTGCTTCCATAGGCTAACCATGGGAAGTTTGTGGCGTAACTACCACTACGATTATTAAAAATCAATTCACTAGTATATAAAACATGCTAACTTGATTCAATCTTGTGGCACCTTTTGATAGATAAAGGTTGGCATTGTCTGAAGGTTTTTCCCCACATTGGTGACTTGCAGACGCGATATGATCACGCCTACTTCTATGGATGGTCCACATTGAATAGTTGACTTGCTAATTGTGACTGCGTCATCGTCCTCCTCACGCTATTGCTTCTCAGTCTCGTATACACACAACTGGTTTCTGCACACACTCGACTGCTAATAGCAACACAGGAGTGACCACACACCCAACCATGAACTTAATACAGCTCTCATGAATAAAGCTCAAAACCCGATGACCTTAATCCAGCTCTCCCGGTCTTTCACAAATACAGCAACTAGTGGTATCCGTTCATCGAATTCTATCCCTGATAAAATTCTGAAGGTGGAGTATTGTGGCGTAACTACCACTACAATTATTAAACATCAATTCACTAGTATATAAGACATGCTAACATGATTCAATCTTGAGGTACTTTTTGATAGATAAAGGTTGGCATTGTCTAAAGGTTTTTCCCCACAAGTTTTCGATGGCTCCCCCTTCATGTAATGCAAATACGGATTAGTTTCATCAACAAAGCCGAATACACAGCACAACTGTAATTAAATATTCTAATTCCTCAGTGTCTTCTCCTATCCCAACACCTTAATTAGTTTCAAATTCTATATTAACCAAATTTTTATCGTCTAGCTGTTTCCCGCAACCCCAAGGAAGCACTTTAATTTCAGTTTTAACTGTTTTTAAGAGTTGTTAACGTTATTGTCGAAGTTCCTTTATTTATTAAATTTTAAAATCTTTCGGGCAGTCATTAAATTACATAAACCATCGTAAGTATGAGTTCAGGGCCATTTCAGCAAAGTAGGAAAAGCAGCGGAAATATCAAAATCATGTCGTGAGATGGAAAACTCATCTCAATGGTCCATTACATGCTGCACTACTTCCTCACGCACCTCTCGAGCCATAACTTGAGTATCGTATAATTTATATGGTATTTCTCGAAAAAGGCAAGCTCCGTCACCAATAATTCGTATGACAATATGCGGCACCCTAACAACGTTTATGTTAAAAATTTCTTCAGTTATTTCAGAAAGAATCAAAAATTAATCCATATAATTATGCTTCGTAACTAAGTTTTTATTTTTATAAAAAATACAAAATTATTCTTAACGAAATACTAACTATTCAATACTACTTAAACTATCACTAAAGTCTACCTAACAAAATGACTCTAAATAATTACTTAATGTATAATTAATTTTTCAACACTTTAACGCTTAAATTGTTACTTAAGACAACCTAACAAAATGAATAATAACTATAATGTTACCAATAGTTAGAGAAATACCTGAGTTTAAGGCGAATATACGAGAAATATTGTTTATAGATTATCTTTAACTACTTATATGCATAACGTCTATAAAATTAGTTGTTTTCTGTTATCTTGAATTCGCAAATAATTACTATTTTTATGCGTGCATTAGAAAATAATTTATTTTAACCCTCGTTTCTACCGATATTCATGATTAATTTTAATTGTTTTTAAGGGTGTATTACCAGTTAAGTAACATATTTATTAACATCGTTTAGTTATACTCACCAGCATTTGAAAATATGTCTACATCTTCTTCATCGTCATGTTTTACTGAAAAAAAAACGTTTCGTTACTAAAAACCCACAACATGAACTAAAATATATTAATTACACGTATTTAGAATAATGTTAAAAGTCACATTATAGGCACTACTTATCATAAAATTAATAATTACAGTAATGGCTATGCATAACAAAAGTGCATATGTTACGATTAAAGTAATAAATACGGTTATTATTAATACTAACCGGTCAAAACAAGTTTTTACATGTTTGTTTGTTTTTAAATTTTACCAGTTTAAAATCAGTTTGGCTCTTTGGCCATTGTAGTTGGCGCGACCGATCACGATACGGAAATATCTCCAATAAAAACGCGAAGGAATGACATCGACCGAACTTCATCGTTAATTATTAATAATAACCGGTTCGGTCAATACATGTTTTTACATGTTGTTCTTTTTTTTTAAATTTTTCCTGCTTAATTTTTCCTGTTTTTCTGTCACCATTTAATACACGGATTCGAACTCCCTTATACATCACGAACACGAGTCTAACGCCCTACCAACCACGTTATCCCAGCATTAATCATTACATGGGTATTTTCAAAATAATTGATAGTTTTTCATTAATTAATATGTTCACAATTGCTAATAAATTCTATTCATTAAGTCTCGGGGGTTCCGCCAAAAGAAGGTCAATCACTTAGGATTCCGCAGCCTCTTGGGAACCTCTGATCTAGTTAACGGGCAGATTAACTAGGATGATCGATTAAAGTACCAAAGATAGTTTCATTTCTTGAATAACTAAGATGATCTACACATTATCTACTAAACACTCCTTGCCTAAAGTGAAAGTAAGATCTTTCTAGGAGTGAGAGCAACGTTTCTGAACGCTTGAATCAACATAACATTATTTATTTATTTTTCGATTTATTTTACAATCAAGCAACCAACAAATTAGTTCATAGAATCGATCATCAATCACTTTAAAAACTGTAATACCAAGAATCAAACAGTTTAAAATATCATTACAATTAAGGAAATTAACATAATATCATTTATTCATTTTTTGAACAACATAATGTCATTTATTCTAAAGAATCAAGTGACAGGTTAAAGTTCAAAAATTCATTTCTCTCCTTCAACAGCAAATTATGTTAATAGAATAAGAGAGACAAACATTTGAACTATAAGCCGTTAATGTGCATATTACCTATATAAAATGCGAAAAAAAACGTTAATTCCACACTTTAACAGAGCAAATCAAAGCAAATAATGAGTACGTTAACGCCTTCCGAGCATTAGCGATACAATATTGTACGTATACAATAAACATGTGGAAATAGTGTCACAACTCAATGACCTTTACTACGACGATGGAACCTTCTATTTGAATTATTCTATTTGAATTATTCTATTGAATTATTCTATTTATTTTGTCCCAAATTAATTCAATATTTAGGTCGAACGCTTTGTCCCAAATTAGTTGCTACATTTAGGTCGAAAATTTTGTCCCAAAGTATCAGCTACATTTAGGTCAAAAATTTTGTCCCAAATTAGTTGCTACATTTAGGTCAAAAATTTTGTCCCAAATTAGTTGCTACATTTCAAGTAGGTGGAATCATAAATAACTCCCGATACAATTTAGTAGATCGACGTCAGTAAAACTATACTACTAATTAATACCCGATTGATTAACTAGAAGATAGTTTTACGCGATTACTGGTGCAAGAAACCTTACAAAATTAGACGGAGCTAAACAACGTTCGAATCCTGCACACTTGAAACTATTTAGAACTGATTTAAGGAGGGAATGCTTGGTAAGCAAATGCTGATTGATAGCTTAGCACCCTGAAATGTCTAAAAAATGTTCAAACAAAATTATAAAATCATTAGTATCAATAATTAGTAAAAAAGTATTCAAATGTAACAACTAATTTGGGACAGATGGAGTAGCTTTTTTCAAAGATTTATAGATTTGTTTTGCAATTCAACTAGTTGTTCAATCTTAACAATACGATTAGAAAGTCGATCTTCGTCTCGCTGATTCTTAAGAGCCCTTTACTTTAGTTTTTTAGATCTTAAGTTTAAAATTTTATATTAATTTTCTTTTCTTAAAGATATTAGTTATTTTTTGGTGGTTAATACAGAATCATTTCACATCGCCGTGACTTTAAAAATATATGAAAATTGAAGACCGTGATTCAATCAAATAGAAAAAGCTGAGCATAATGTTTTATTAATTTTTAGGTCATTATCAGTATGTCTGCCGTTGACGAAAATTTCAAACAAAAATTTCAATTAGTAATTCTGCTCATTACCACTGCTTTTTAAAAACTAAATCCTATTTTAAAATGTCTGATATATATATATAAAATAAAGATTAGGCTATGTGCATTTTTTCTCAGGTACTGATCAGCAATTTTTTTCAAAAACAAAATAGTTTGAAAAATTGTAAAAATTCATAAAACTTACAAATAAAAAAATCGATCATTATTAAGCTAAACAATATGTAATAATTGTTTAAATAAAAGATTTTTTGAGTAGAATTATTCTTGTATAAAAGAGTTTCAGGAATAGGTCCAAAAATTTTAATCTGTTAAATTAGTTCCAAACACGCAGCGAAATAAGCAAAAAATTAAACCTGACATTAAAGGTTTTTAACTTTGAACCGATTTCCTAAATTGCTATTGGAACCAAAAGATTCCAAGCTTCAACTGCCACCCATGACTTATTGGTCAACATTTCAAATTTGTTGTACGAAAAAATGTATAGTTTATGGAGAAAAAAAGTTTATGAGCCCAGTTTCGTAATTGATTTTCAAATAATGAAAAAAGCGTTTTAATGCATAAAATTCCGATTATTAGATTAGGCTAAGCTCTTGGAACAGTTCCAGGTTGTACTACCAACCATAGTCAACAATTCAAATTTGTTTCATAAAAATACTTTTTCAATAAAAAAAATTATGTCTAATTTTATTATTAATCTGCTGTTATTGGTTTGGTTACTGTAGGTAAGCTGTTTAACCGATGAAAATGACCTCATAAGAAGACGCCATACCACGTGAGAAACTTTACATCGCAAATGCTCTTTCATCTCCATAACTAAGTTAAAATTTAAAGTATAGAAAAAGTAAGTTCAGGCAAACCAAGAATAAGCCATGAAGTTTCAAATACTGAAAAGAAATTTTCAAAATATCAAAATGAAAATAAATTTTGAGAAGATATAACTTATGATTACCCAATGAAGAAGTTCTCTTCCAATAATTTGCTTGCATTTTCATATTTTGAAAATTTCTTTTCAGGAATTGAGACTTCATAACTTACTCTAAGTTTGTTCTGAACTTGCTTTTTCTATATTTTAAATTTTAAATTAGTTATGGAGGTGAAAGAGCATTTGCGATAAAACATTTCTCCCGTTGTATGGCGTCCACTTAAATCATTAAAATTCGAATATTAAACCAAAAGTTATGCCGGATGTATCTTTATTTATTATTTTCAGAACAATAGTCGCAAAACTTATTTATTTATTCTTATTCAATTACATATCCAATTTTTTAATATTCTTTTGAACCTTCTATAAAACAACTTATTTGTTTGCATTGATCTGAGGTAACTATCAGTATTAAGGGAAACTTATGACAATAAATAAGAAAAGGAGGGAATTGAGTTTACTTATAAAAAGAAATAATGGACTTATTTCTTATCAGTAAAATTTCAAATCTTGAATTTCATTCATGTATTATGCCAGTGTTTCCCAAACTTATGACTTATGTGTACCCTTTCTAAATTTTTCGTATAGCTGTGTACCACTAATAAAAAAATTTATAAACTTTTTACTATAAAGAAATTGCACAAAAGTTAAAAATCACTACTGGCTGTTGACACCACTAATTATTACTGTTAACTCTGCAGAAAATAGCCAGTAGAAAAATACGCAAGCGCAAATTTTCATGGCTAGCTTTGTTTTTAAGTAAAAAATTTCGAAATTTTCGCTTGTTATAAGATATTTCGCATAAGAACGCGTACCCCAGCTAAACTGTTCTCGTACCTTTTGGGGTACGCGTACTATACTTTGGGAAACACCGATCTAAGGTAACTATCAGTATTAAGGGAAACTTATGACAATAAATAAAAAAGGAGAGAATTGAATTTACCTATAAAAAGAAATAACGGATTTATTTCTTATGAGTAAAATTTGAATCTTGAATTTCATTTATGCATTATGCCATTGTAATAAGAGAGACAAATTACTTAATAGAGATGGTGTTAATGAGATATGTAATAAAAGAGACAAATTACTTAATAAATAATCACTCATTTTATTTCAATTTTAATAAAATATATAAACAACAAAATTCAAAATAATGAAAAAAGCATAAGTTGTAAATATATATATATATATATAAACAATATAAATAAATCACTTGTTACATGTCCCACATTGTTTAACAATCATTTGAATTAAAAATGAAAAGAATAGTTTAAATCTAAATATCCATTATCACATAATGTAGTATCTCGCGTCTTATTCAAAAAATCACATAACAAGTAAGCTCTGATTTTTTTAATATAATATATACATCAATATGTAACGTAGTATAACACAAGTTGGTATCGAATCAACTTTCAACTTGTATGAACAGTTTGGTCGCAATGAATTGTTGTTATTGGTAGTAGGGAAGCAGCATTATATTTAAATTGTCATTTTCATTCATCTTCCAACATTGAAATGGTTAAACACATTTGCCAATTTGCATAAACGGAAATGACCTAATTAAAAGGCAATACGTTTTCAATTCTAATTTCAATAAATCTAAATTTTTTAAATAATTCTTTTGTATCAAATGATACACTCTTATAAAATACTATCACATAGTTTGATATATAGTACCCTCTTAAAAAAATCACTGGATAAAATCACAGAAGGTATCACATTCAGAAAACCCTTAAATAAAATTAAAAAAACATGAGAATGATGTAACAATATAATTTGGATAGTTTGTAGTTACGGTGCAAAGAAAATTCTAATTTACATTAATGAATTTCCTGAT